GGGCACTCAGCTCTGTAGCAATCCTTGAGGTCAGGTGGCACCGGCCTGGTGACACGGCCCGGCATGCGACCTGGCTACGCACCCCACCTTGGCCCCTGCTCTGCTGTGCACACCCTCCCCTGCCTGTCCGTCAGCGCTGGCTCCTGTGTCTCCACACCTCGGCCCCTGCTCTGCTGTGCACACCCTCCCCTGCCTGTCCGTCAGCGCTGGCTCCTGTGTCTCCACGGTCAACACAGTGGACTGAGGACAGCACCTGGCCCCAGCTCCCTCATGCTTCTCTGCTCCTGACAGCAGTGTTCACTCCGGGAATGAAACGAGCCCCACGGCACACGCATCTAGCTTTGGGTGGCACGGCTCTGGCTGTGGCCACTGGAGGGAGGATGGAAGACCGAGAGTAACTGAGCTGCGCAGCCTGGGCAAGCGCGGAGCCCGGGGGCCCTGGCGCAGGCTGACAGGTGGCACCAAGGTGGCAGAAGAGGCCAGCTTCAGGAGGGCTGTGGGCAGCTGCTGGGGGAGTTGCAAGAGCCAGAGGGCGCTGGGGGAGCACTGGTGCTGTGGCAGCACCCAGGCCCGGCCCAGCGCTGCAGTCCTTTGCGGAGTCACAGGGTGAACCAACGCCAGGTCCGATCCACGGAGCGCAGGAAGGCCTGGTGCACTACGGGAGGCGCCCAGGATGCGCGGGAACCTGCAGGGGCGGCCGTGCCCATCGGCCCTGAGGAGGTGACGTGGCATGGGCTCTGTGGCCTGGAGATGTGGCTGAGGGCGACACTCTCGTCTAGCGGATGCAGGAGGACCACTGCACTAACCCTGTCCTGGCGCGGAACTTCCCGTATGGGTGTCTGCCAGGGAGGTGTCCCAGAGAGCTCGAGGTGCCCTGGAGACACGGCCCACAGATGGCCGCAGGCTTTGCTCTTCAGCCTCGGGAAGTTACTGTGAGGAGAGCTTCTAGTTGTCCAGGCGAAGCTCTTCCTCCCTTGGTGTTCTGTCCCCAGAGCACCGTCTCTAAGCTAAGCCCAAGCACACGTCTCTAGCCGGGCCGCACATCCCCAGCGGCGGTGGCACTGACAGCTTCCCACCAGCTCTCCTCAGTGCAACCCAGAAAACCTGCAGCACCGCTCCTGGCGGCCGGCGCTGGGCTCACACAAGCCAGCAGGACGACACGGCCAAGCCACGGCTGCTGCCGAGCCTGCCACACCGCGCCCCTGCCCATGTCAGCCCCAGCACTGCTGTGTCACTGCCCATCCTCCTGCACTAGAGTTTATCCTGCTGAAGTTCATTTCCGAGCACAGAGCTCCTCCAGGCCCCACCCTGCGCACCTGGAGGAGAATCCGGCCAATCCCGCTCAGCAGCTGTGGCTCCTGCTCCGGGTGGTACTCGATGACTGCACGGTAGGCGTCCACAGCCAGCACGTAGTCCTGCGGGGCAAGAACCGACAGCACACTGAGCCAGCGGAGGCCCGCCGGTCACATACAAGAGCCTGTGGCAGGGAGGACTCCTGGGCACCAGGCCTGCATGGGGCAGGACCTAATCCTACCGGGTGAGCGCCGCCTGCTGGCACTGGGCAGAACTGAGCCTGACCGCCAGCCTTCTGCAGTGAGCCACACCTGGTCTCCAGCTACAATCCACACCCTCTACACCAGAAACCAGTGCGTGGAAAGGCTTCAACTCGGCACCACACAGGCAGGCACCAACCTCGGCCATGTCCCCAGCCCACTCCTGCCTGTGCCGGTTGTAAGCAGGCGCACCCCAGTCCCCACTTCTTGAGGAGCTGGGACTACACAGGGATGTCGCCACATCTGTCTTTTTTGGTGGCACGGGTGTTTATAACCTCATGGCTTTGAACTGCCAGGCAGGCGCTGTACCACGTGGTCACACCCCAGCTCTTTCTGCTTTGGTTATTTGAGATAGGGTCTGTGTTTATATGTACGTACAGATGCATGCTTCCTGCAGCACCGGGAGGCCAAGTGTAGGCTGCCATACTCAGCACTTTTCTGGTTGGGATGATCTTTTGGACTCTGCCTGGGGTGGTCTTGGGCCATGCTCCTGGTCTGTGTGAGCAGTAAGCTTCTAGATCTCCCCAGATGTGTCAGGGCTGTCTGACAGAAGGGACACTGCCTGTCTCGTGGGAGAAGGGGGTCAGCTCCACCCAAGCCCAGTGTCCCCTGCAGTCACAGGGACTCTGTAGCTCGGAATCTGCCAAGCAAGTTCTGCATAGACCACTGCTGAAGACGTCATTGAATCAGCTTGGTTAAGACACGTGGTCAGCAATACCATGGCCACTGACAGTGATTTTCTCATTAGTCACCATGACATTCCAGACTTTTATTTCTATGTTCTTTTGTACTGTCAACTTCCAATCTGGGACTGCAGTCACTAGTTTGCTAGCTGGGATGTTTTAGAGAAAGACAAAGGACAAGTGAACTCAAATAAGCAGACAAGCCCGGCATTGGTGGCTCATGCCTGTAATCCTAGCTACTCAGGAGGCTGAGATCTGAGGATTGCAGTTCAAAGCCAGCCCGGGCAGAAATGTCCATGAGAGTCTTATCTCCAATTAACCACCAGAAAACTGGAAGTGGCGCTGTGGCTCAAGTGGTAGAGCGCTAGTTTTGAGCTGAAGAGCTGAGGGACAGCACCCAGGCCCAGAGTTCAGGCCCCATGACCGACAAAAAAATTAATGTATATTTCACAGGAGCAATGCTATTCAAAATAATGAATGGTGAATCCATTGTTAGCTCACGCGCCTCACCGGTACTGAGCCCCCACGTCTGCCATACCGCGCACGTCCACTAGGTGGCAGAAGGCATGTGCTTAGGTGGTCCAGAACCGTGCATTTTCCCCTCTGGCTTTAACTCATGAAAATGGAAAATGCAGTTAAACTCCGGAACTAGATGGTGCTCACAGCGAGCCACACTGCGCTCTGTGCTGAGTCCTGACAAGGCAGCGCCTTCCTCTTGGAGTCTGGGGCTGCCACTGGAGACAACAAAGACAGGCACTTCCATCCCATAATTCTCCAGGTGTGAGCACAGCATGGCGGCGGCTGCGGGGGAGGGGGCTCCCCCGGGGAGCTGTGGTCCCGTGATTAATGCAACACCGGTGGGGAAACTAACAACTGGCTGCTCATCTCTATAACTCCTGCACTGGCCTTCCCAGTGGCCTGGCAGTATGGGGGGGAGGGTTAAAGGGGTGGGATGGGCGGGGGGTGGGTGAAGGAGCCAGGCAGGGCAGGGCAGGCCCGTGGGGAGGGACAGAGCTCTCTGAGCTGAGTGCGGTGTCAGAGTGGGCAAGGTTTCAGAGAGAAATGCTGTCCTCTC